TCGAAAAGTGCTTTCTTGGGTCTACATTTGACAAGCCATAAAAAATTTAGAAAATTATTGAAATTTTGTAGTTTCATTAAGCCTGAGAGTCTAGATCACATAGAAGCAGAATCTACTTCGATTTAGATGGTGATACTGATCAAGAATATATAAAATATACTTTATGGAGGTTGAGATGTCTTGTTTCTCTGCGTTGCGAACTTCTAACTGGAATTATAATACCCTCTGCAGCGGTATAAAACCGAAGCTAGGGTAAACTATATTGACCAATTTGAAATCGTGTGATTTAAAACCCACAGTGCTAAAAATACTATTTTAATATTCCAACTGTCTAGTTGACTTGATCGACATGACAGTTGGAATATCAAAATACAATTTATGACACTGGGGGCCTGTTATTTTAAAATATTGATAAACGAGTATGAAGAGGAAACTATGCAAACAATCATCCGCGCTTGGAGGTTTTTTTTCCGTGCAGCTTGTTCAAATCATATCAGTTCGGTTTTGTATCTGAGTTGTGTCTATTTATTTCTAATTTACGAAAAATTCAATTAGCTGCGCTGTCGAAAGCAGGCAGCATTTGAGGCCTGACTGAAGGGCTCCCTTTGAGCCACCAACGCCGGGCCACATTAATAATATAAACTTTCGTTGACTAGGCTGCCAATCAGTTGTTTCGAAAGCCCACAGTAAAGCCATACAAAACTTTGTGAAACAATGTCCAACCGTTACAGTGAAGCCACGACGAAATGAACTCCTTCTGCGGGGAAGTACAGTGACAGAGCTTAGCTAACAAGTGCCATTTTTATCTACCATAAGCACTCTTCGTAAACGCTTTTCCGACCACTGTGCCTGGCAGGGGGCCATTAGCAAACTTTTCCGAAAAAAATCGAGTTACGGTGGGGGGCTGTGAAGTTTCACGGGGAGGCTGTGGAAGTCTGCTTCTATGTTAAATGAATTGTTGTCTTAACTACGAGACAAGCCCCCTCCACAGTCGACAGGTGAGGGGGGATGTGTGTCTATTAAAATTGCGGGCGCGGTGCAGCAGCCAAAAAAAGTTTCATGAATTCATTTTTCGAAACGAAAAAGTAGTGAAACAAAAATTGTATATCTACCGAAAAATGAAATAAAAAATTAGATGCATTCAAGCCCGAATGATTCTACTCTTCAAAAGAGTATTAAAGTAAATTCAGTTTTATACAATTTCAAGATTTTGGTATAAACAAAAGAATAAACCATAAAACCTAGTTCAATTTTAGAAAGTAAAATCCAGGTAAATTCTTTAAAGAAATATATATGAATGAAGAACAAGTTTTTCTTTGACGATCCACATAAAAATAAATAGCGTTTTCTAAACGACTTTTCAGGCAATTTCAAGACGGAGACTCCAAACTAGCAGCTTTCACATTTAGCACCTCGAGATTTCACCTTTACTTCCTTCCTGGCAAACTCCGGCATATAATTGCAGTGCCCCGCCGAGAAGGGTATGGAAAGTTTAAATAACTTTGGCAACTAAATTTAAGTTGCGATGTCGGTGGGGGAGTGCAGAAACGGGAGGCTGGGGTGCCACACTGCGAGGGTCGTGACAAAGTTGGGAGCAGATAAAAACTGCAGCAGACGCAAAACTAATTTGCGTGGTTATGTAAATTAGAGTCGGAGAGTTGCTGCGATAAACTTGTTGAGGGCGAGGAGCAGCTAACAACAGCAGCAGCAGGAGGAGCAGTGAAAAAATCGCAGCACAAATGCGTAAACAAGGTGGGGATAATGCCGTGCGATGCAGCTGAAACTAAATTAAGCCCCAACTCACCTTGAAGTTCAGCCGAGTCCGAACTCTCGGCAGAAGTTCAAACACAGCTGAAAGCTGAGGCGGTTTCGTTTACCCAAATGTGGGCGTGGCAGTGCTCAAGACTCAAGGCTCTATATATGCATGGATATAGTATACACCTGGATGTGGGCTTTGCAGCCGTAATCCCGTAACCACAAACAGATAACAGAATCGTCGGGCGAGGAGACAAAGACGCCGCTCGCCTCAAACAACTAAATAATGTGCAGCAAATTTAGTGCCTGAGTGCTAGTATCTGAAAGATACACACGCACTCTACCAAACACACAAAGGCACTGAAAGAAAATGTTTCATTAAGCCTCAGAAAAAAACACGTACATAAAGATGCTAAAACCCAATCTGCAATGTAAAAAAAACTTGTAATCAAAAATAATTTTTTTAAATGAAATTTAATTCAGATTTTAGAAGTGGCAAGTTGTTGTTGTTTTTCATAATTATTTTATTACTTACAGGATACATTTTATTTTTTAATTTGCTTTCTTTCAAATCTCCGTATTTTCTTTCAGTTTGCGCTTTTTAATCCTCCTAACTAACTAATAATTGAAAAATATTTCTCTCTGCATTTGGGATTATTTTTCAAAGAGCAGTTGGCTGGGCTTAGGCATAATTTGGGCCCAGACTGGCGGGGAGACGGGAGTGGAAACGCATCCTGCAGGATACATCGTCGGCTGTCTTGGAAACCGCAGGGGTTCAGGGATATAGCCAGCAGAAGGACCAGTAGTTGCCGCTCTGTAAAGTCATATTAATAATTTTGTTGGAATCTGAACTACATCCATTGCCGACTGTTGGCCCACCACCTCCGCCTGCAGTACTTTTGGCATTCCATGGACCGCAACAACTGGCAGGATGCATCTGGTAGTTCTGGCAGTTTTGGTAGTTCGGGACACGAGCTGTTACCATGGCCATTAAAGCTTAGTTACACTTATACCCCATCTGGCCCCCAATATTCCCACTTTTGTTTACACTTCCCATGCAGGCCGAAAAAAGACGACAGCAAAGTGCACATGAATCGCTGCAGCTGCTCAAAAACTCCGACTGTTTTGCACCTGTTGTTGGGCTCTGAATCTCAGATGCTTGGATGCGGGGATGCTCGGATACTCAGATAGATTGCCACTCGGGCTGGCGAATTGAAGAAGTTTTGCTTGCCAATGTGCAAATGTTTGGACTGGGCTCCTCAGATAAATTCCCATGTGGCACAAAGACTAATATTCGGAAGCATTTCCATGGGAAAATATCTGCAGTGGATTGAGGGATAATTTTCCTCGGGCTGCCACATCAATATTGACTGCGCTTCGCCCACACAATATTGTGGGATTTTCCTCAACAGGCACTAATTAGTCGCCTCCGGTTCCGTCTCATCCTTGGATGACATGTGATATTTTTAGTGGCGGCTTGTTTACAGGGTTGCAGCCGTCGAACTCCGACCCTCATTTATTTTTAGCCGCCTGCAGCTCTATTCGATTTGTGTTAATGACATGCAAATCAACTTTGGTGGTCCTGCAACAAATACCCGCTCCAACTGCGTCGGGAAATTCCCACTGTGTTTGTGTTTTTTTGACAGCTGATTGTTTTATTGAGACGTGGCACGGGGCAGAAGGTATTTCTCCTTTTTATTGGATGGAATGGCGACAGCAAATAGGTAAATATTTACTATTTGCTCTAGCTGGGCTGTGAGAAAATCATTAAATCACAACCGACTGAGACACCACTTTTCCACACCCGAAAGCAAACACAAACAGCGAAATCAATATAGCGGGCGATCGGGCGGAAAAACTAACTCAAAGGGTAAATAATAAAAAATTTAATTAGAATTTCTGTTATTAAACAAAATGCCACCAAAGAGCGAAATGCCACTAAATTGAAAAATTTGAAATCGAGCTGAAACAGAGAAACAGGGATTCTGTGAAATTGGAAACGAAATGAAATAAAACTCTGCTAAGTTAGACCCGCACAAAAATCACGCAAACATTTCCGCTGCCAGAAATGGAAAATGGAAAATGGGAAATGGCCAAATAAAAACAAATGGTAAAAATGTAAAAGGTATTTAAAATGTTTTTCAAATGCGGTTGCAGTGGTTTCAATGTGTGGCCGGCAAAGTAAATGAAAATATTTCAGCGAAATGAAAAATGTTTGCCCACACAGCAAACGTGTGTGTATGTGTGTGTGTGTGACTTTCAGAGGAGATTAAAAAATCTGTGATGTTTTGCATTATTTATTATAAATATGCTAAATAGCACAAGTCAGTGTCGAAATACCTTTCAAGTGCTGCACTCGAATCACAAAATTAAAGGCGCGATTTTCGCCTGGCCAAGTGAGATAATGAGAAAAAATAAACGCCAACCCATAAAACGTCTAGTTCCGCACATAAACCTGTCCCTCTACGGCACAGATTTTACGACCTCGCCATCCCAGTCCGATGTCAGGGCATAAACCAGGAGATCACCACCACCACCGCCGCCGCCCACGCAATAAAAAACATAAAAAACTGGAGGTGGAAACTGTACACAAATTACCAATTTTTAATTTGAAAATGCGGCACAAACTTTAATTAGCCACTCCCCCTGACCAGGACAAAGTTTATGGCACTTGGCGCCGGCGACCCTGTCCGCTGCATATCAAGACTTTAGTATTTATTGGCCAACAAGGCGTCGCTGCAATTTATGGCCCAGAGTGTGAACGTGTGTCCGCACCACCGCACCACTGCACCGCTGCTGCTGCTGCTGCACCACCGCCTCCCATCGACACTGTCCCACCGCCGAGGCCGCAAAATCCACAGAATAATTTCGGTCGCTGGCTGTGATTTGGCTTTGGATTTGGCATGGCCATATCCTGCTCTAATTTTCCCCGCTCTCTCTTTTTTTTTTTGGTGTTGTTTTTTGTGTTTTAAAGGATAGGATAGCATGTGTGCTGTGCGTGTGGAGCTTGCGGCTTTCGCCACGCGCTAGAAATAAATTTTGCCCGGCACCCAAACGATTTAATTTGCGGTTTCTGTCACAGACGATGCGCACTCGATTTTCCATTGAAAATTGATAAAACTTATTTGCGGACGGTCTGCCGATAAAAAAAAGGAGGACAACAAACAGGCGATTAAGCAGCGAATCTGATATAAATTCTGTCAGAAAAGAGCATATATTTAAGATAGGTTCGGAGTTTTAATAAAATATATATATTTTTTAATTGTTACTGTAACTTAATAGTATCAAAATATAACAATTTAAATACAAATATATCTTTGAAAATATTATCAAACAATGCAACCGACAGTTGGGAAATCATCACATATTATTTCCGCCGGAGGAAGCAACCAATTGCCTTGCAGTACTCAAAAGTGGATTGCAGGTAGTGGAACCGCAACCACTCGTACTTCAACTCGAAGATGTTAGTTGGTTTCTGTCTGCGATAGGCGTTCATGACGGTCATGGCCCTCAGCCACCGATACCTCAAGACTCTGCTCAGCTTGAGGACCTCATCCAAGCTGCAGCCATATCCATCTCCTTTAAACTCAGATTGCAGCATCCTGTTCATGTGAAGCAGAAACAGTTCGTGGTTCTGTATTAATTCATTTAAATTGGGAAAACCTTGCACTCCGACTTCGTAGGTATTGAAGACCTTCCATAGATTCGTTGAAAATATCAGTATTTTCTTTTCGAATGTGCACACTAATGATTGCTGAAGAGATCTGAAAGCCGTAATCAGTCCGTTTTGATTAACCTTATCCAAGGAAGATATTTTCTCAAGTTGATACCGTGAATAATGCAAATTTAACATCAAACGAAAGCAGATGTTCATCTGCTCAATCTGCTCCTGCCTAATCACTCGGTTCAGAAAAGGATCATAGCTGACCAAAAGGTAAATAAATTCCGGATGTGGTTCTATTATATAAACTTTGAACAGATAACCCAATCTCGGATCCTGTGAAACCAGAATATCACTCAACACATAAGAAGCTTCCATCAACTGGTTTCTTTCCAGTAACTCAAAAAATAACTCAAATTCACTGCGGAAAAGGTCATAGTTCAAGAGGAGGAAAACCGATCGCAGGTGATTTACTTTCTTAGGCATTTGTAACTCATTTTCCAAGTCAGTCATATACGAGTTAACCAACAAGCTACGTCGGTGAAGTAATCTTCTCAGCTCCTGGCAGATAATATCTGATATTGGAGTGTAGGGAGCGCAGGCCTGAAAGTTCCTCACCAACTCATCCACTGAGCAACTAACTAATTGTCGGGGATCTGGTCGAGTTTCCATGTGAAAGGAGTACAACAATCGACGAACTGGATCATTATTGACTTTTTTAAGCTGCTCCAGGATATCAGGGGCATAACTGGTTTCCTCTATCCTCTCTGTTTGATAAGGAGTTAGTTCCTCTATCACCGCTTTCAATAGTTCATTGTGAAGGGATAATCGAGCTGCGTTTCCATGCAACAAGTTGAAGTCACCTATTCTTCGGGCATCATAGAGTGTGGCCACTGCCTCTCTAGATTGATCCATGTGTTGCTGAATGATTTGAAATAGCTTTCCATTTAGAAGTTCGTTTTCTTTGTTGTGTATTTTTCTCAAGGCATATTCCGTTCGTCTTTCGATCAGGAGTCTTTGGTAGGGAAACTCATCGTGCCAGTCTGTGAACTCCCCCGTTGACCACCAGCTGTCGATAAACTGACAATAGGACAGCAGAGAGTGAAGCAATAAGGATGCATTTAAAGATCTCTGAAACTTGGAGTAATTACTATTGGTTATGGCTTTGAACAAAGAGTCCAGAAGTCGCAGGCTCCTCATTGAGGGTTCTCCTTCAGAAATTTGCTTGGCAAGTTCAAAGAGTGTATTTAGTCTTTCCAAGGGAGCACTCGAGGCCTCCAAAAAGTGCTCCAAGGTGGGTTTTTCAATGCCCTTTGTCAGTCTACTCTCAAAATAAACCAGGTATTCAATCACGGGTCGAAGAAGTCTTCGCAGAGCCACAGAGAAAGAAGTTAAGGTCTCCAACCGATCACCAGTTATTCTTTTCGACGTCTGATCCTCAATGAACTGCCTTAAATGCCGCATCTGCTTCACATACTCAAGGATTTTTGCTAAAAAAGGACCCTCATATAACTGGTTAAAGGCACAGGTGTATGTTCCATCCTTTCGTACCTGCAAATCATTATCCAATATCTGAAAATGCCGTTGATCTACAGTTGCGAAAAAACAAATTACTAGTTCCCTCATTAGTTGATGTTCTTCGCTGATTTTTCGCACAGAGGAAAGACTTTTCCTTAGCTGATAAACCAGCCAATCGCCGTAGCCCTGGCTGAAACTGCTGGTAAAGATACGAGGTGGCTGATACACATGAATATCTACCTGCCACCATGGCGAAACGATCCTGGAAAACATATCATTGGTTCCCTTAAAGTAATTGGTCTTTGTGGGTTTCGCTGCGGTGGATTCCACCTGAGTGATGTTCAATTCGAGATCCAATTTAGCATCTTTTGTAGCGAATTCCTCTTTGATTTGGGTTCTATTCAGGTTGGATGTTCCATGGGAGCAATAGCTGTGAAGTGAATTCGTTTGTGGTTCATATAAGGATGAATTTTTATAGGCATCATCCAAGTTGGCTTCAACTTTAGCAGGCAAAACCGAGTGCATCTGATCAGAGGGAACAAGAGTTCTACCTATCAGATTCCTTCTTTCGCTACGATTTGGTTGGGAAGTTAATTGAGTTCTAGAACCATCATATAAATATTCAGATTTGTTGGAGAACGTGAAAGGGGCACTAACTGGTGTTTCACGAGGTGATGTTGCACTATTCGAGATTCCACTTTTGGAAACTCTTCTTCTGATCTCTTCTGCAATAACCTCCGAACTTTCCGTGGCCAAAGTAAGAGCCTCCATGATGTTCTTCCGCTTCTGCTCCATTTCATCCCGATTGTTGTGAACCTCTTTGAAAGCCTTGTAATTCACGCAGAGCATAAAGTCCAAAAGTCTGTACTGAAGATCTTTCTGCTCGTGGTTCACACAGAGTGGGTGGGTTAGAATCACATTGGCCAACTGCTTGAAGGTTTCCCCGTACTTGGGAAGCTGCTCCCAGCGATATCTATCCAAAAAGTGACCCATGGAGAGCATGACGGATTCCGGACAGCACTCCTCGAGGTCGGGATCCTCCAGGTGCTTCTTGGCATAGTTGAGGCAAATCTCGACGATGGCAGAGTCCACATTCTGTCCACTTTCTTCATGCTTTTCCCTGCCTTCGAGTGGCGAATCCAACAGCAATCGCACCAACTGCGGCACATTGCGAGCTATGACTTGCTGGCGCTCGTTCGATTGCATCCCTTTTGAGGATAATATTGTAGAAAAATATATAGATTTAAAAGTACAAACGACAGCTGAGAATTGATAGATACACTGATAAAAAGTATGATCTGTTACAAATGTTGAATAAAACATTTCAGTTAAAATTAGCAAAGATGAATTTCCATAGACCTGTATTTTAATTTATTTAAAAAATTTAAGGCAATGGTTAAGAGTTAAATACTTTTCAAAATTTTCCAAAATAATTATAATCATTGTAATGCTTTAACTCAGCATGCTTAGGTTTTTATATATTTTTGTCTGAATTGAAAACAAAAGAATCCTTGCAATTCTTAATGTCGTATCTATTTCTGCAAATATTTTTCGACTTTAAAGGGATTTACGCAGTGCACAAGTGTCCTGCTTCAATGAAATCGAGAAAAATACGGAGGCAAACAGCTTAGGTTGTTTTCCAATGGCCAGAAACAGGGCGGCTTACAAAATGCTTGAAGAGAATTCAAACATGTAAATTCCTGTGGCATTCAACGAGCAACTGGAGCAGCAAATGGAGGACCTTAGTGACCCACTTGGACATCCGACCCACCGTCTCCCACCACCGGAAAGTACATATGGTTTTGCTTTATTTTATTGTCCGACAAGATAAATACCAAAATATTGAATATGTACCGAAGGGCTGTGGAGAAATGCACAAGGACATGGAGCAGATATTTGGGAGGTGTCCGAAAGGGGAGGGGAAGCAGCTCCTGTCATCTGCTTCCGAGCAATAACTCAAATGCAATCGAGCATTCCTGCTGCAGCAGAGCAAGAAATAAACCCGGCAACCGACTTCTCCCAAGGGTTTCAGTCAAATGAGTAGATCCTTGAATTTAAATTTTTGAATTCTAATAAATTGGTATAGTTTTAGGCTAACATAAATGAACATGGTCCTCTTATTTGTCAGTGACCTCAACATCTTTTGCATAAACTTCAATTCTCTGTCAATAAAAAGTTTTTTCAATTTCCCTGAGAAAGAAAATAAAGCAGAGAAAAACAACATCATATCAGTGAAATCCGCCAATAATTTTTAAATTTACCATTTTGAAAGGGAAAAGTTTGTCAAATATTTGGAAAATATTAATTTGCTGCCAATGCAAACTTTTGGGGGATTTTTTCTTAGCAAGGCGATAGACAACAAATTTGCAGAGGACACTCCACAGAAGGAAAGTTTTTCCAAGGATTGCAAGAGATGAAATCTGCACCAGAAAACAAAAGCCGAAATGTAGAAAAACAGTGAAAACGCTTCGAGGGTAAACTTGCCGGGCCCAGAAACTTTCCGTCGCACTTGGCGAGAAGTAAGCGAAAAACTTAATAAAGATCGTCGTCCTGCAGGACACTCTCCAGAGGCAGGACGCTCGACTGGCGATGGTGACAGCTTTTGGTCAATGGAGAATGGAAAATAGACGACGACGGATGAAGAATGGCGGAGGTTCAGTGCAGTGCGACCGCAGCCTGTCGAAATTAAACCAAACTGAATTTGCACTTACACTTTGGGCAGACGCCTCGGTGGAAGGACTCCCGCAGGACTCTCCCTCTCTCTCTCCTTTCTCTCTCCACTCCACTCCATCCGGCGCCTGTCGAAATTGTCACTTTCGCAATTCCCCCAATAGTTGACTGGTTTCGGCGGTTGGCGGCGTCAAGAAGCGCGTAAGTGACATTTATGCGCCTGCCAACTTGCATCCTGCAACTCCCCAGCTGCGAAACCGCGGTAAACTTTCGCCCAAGGCCAAACGAGGATGCCGCACTCGACCCAAGTTTGTTTTAATAAATACCCCCATTGTCTCCGCCACCTGCCGAACCCAACTGGATACCATCCCATCGCAACCGAACTTCTCAACAATTTACCCGCTCCCATCGACAGTTGGCCAGAAGTTGGCGCAGCACAATGGAGGCAGTCGCCAGGAAACAATCAGCTCTGCCAGAAGCCTCAATCACAGCCATTCCGCGGAATGCAAACGAGAGCTGCTCAGAATTACTCATTTTTATGAACTTTTTCACAGCCCGCCACGATTGTTGCAATTAACGAAAGTTTCCCACTCGAAATAAGCCGAGAAAATGGAATAACGCCGAACGGAGATACCAAGCTGCGAATTGCGAGGTTAAAAAACATAAAGACAAAAGAAGTGCAGTTTGGCGAGTTTGCCCCACTGACAAAATAATTTTTCGCGAACTCATCAAGGATTTCTAGGAAGGTGAACCAACATAAATAGAAAAATACCACAGAAGAAAGGAACATTTTAGCTGATACAAAATAATGTTTCAAAAGGTAACAGAAGAATATGAATAGGTCTTTCGCTTTACAAATGACATTTAAATCTATTGTTTTGAATATTTAGTTAAGCATGTTTTCAAACAAATTAATTTACAAAGGTATGAACATAAAATTCATCTTACAGTCGCTTCACATAAAAGTGCGACTATAATTAAAGCAAGAAGGCAGAAATTATTTCCCTTTGAGTTTCCCTTTTACAGCCTGATGAACTTGAAGATAAAGTTCAACATTTTATGGAGACCACATCGCTCCCTCGAAGTCCGTAAATCTCAGTGCAACTCACCTCTGTCGCTGATGGGCCTCATTTAGCGTAGATTTCTTATCAAGCCACCGGATGTCAGCCGAACTACCTCAGCCCGAACACGTTTTCTATTAATAAACCGCTTTTTGGAGCCACATCACCACATCTGGTCGCCAGGAGCAGGCCACACGAAAAACGCTTCCCGATGCCAAAGGGCAATAACACCTCCCCCGGAATCCCCAACTCCCACATAATTTGGAGCCATGGGCAAAGTTAATTAGTTGTGATTTTTCAAAGAACATTCAAAATCGAAGCGGGCAGCCGAAAACACAAACAACATTGTTGGCCCGCGGCGAAAAGTCGAGGGGTAAACTGCAGCCAGGCGTGGCACATGTTGAGTGTATAAAATTTTGATGAATGTTTTGTTTACAGGGGCACAGCGAACAACACCAGACAACATCTCCCCCTCGCAAGGGGTTGATTACACACGCATTACGTGGGGCATGAGGAAGGGCCAGGAGGTAGTAGGAGGCAACTGCATCTGACGGCATCTGGGATGCGACACACACATATGTGCCTCGGGTGCCGCGGACGCAGATTGGAAATGGAAATTGAATGTGAATTATATCGGATATCCAGACACAAGACAGTCAGGCGATGACCTCACGCCTCTCTGAACTTTACACACAAGGAAATTCTGGGTAATTAAGATTTGGTGCACACAAAGAAATTATCTCCTTTAACCTTTTGTTTAAGTAAAAAATATTTTAAAATATAATTTGTAATCTACTGTACCATAAATTCCCAGTAGTTTAAAGTATTATTAATAAATTACAGATATGTTACACAAAAGTAAGTTTAAGCTTGTAAAAATTGTTTTGAAAGAAGCTACATAAAATGTTCTAAAATAATTATTGATCATTTTGTTTAAAATTATTTTCTTATTAAGTAGTTTTTAAAAAGTCTTTTCAGTGTATTTTTTGAGACGAAAAGCAAAAGCCATAAATTACGCAGCATAAACAGACTGCAACTAATTAACAAGAAAACGCATCATCTGCAGCCGAAACATCCCCGAAATCTTTTCTTGTTCATTTTTCCGGTCTCAACGATTTTCGATTTTCCCACAGCACAGGTGAAAGTGCGTCTGTGTAGGACAAGTTAGAGTAAATTGGCTCAAATTGGAATGGCATGTTAAGTCCCCCGGGTAGCATTTATTTTCCTAATCAAATTTGCCTTTCTTCGGCAGAGCCGAAAATAATAATTTAAATATTTTGGCCTGCGGACATAGGCGGCAGGAAATGGCATTTGGGCAACTGGCTGGCTAACAAGCTAGCCAACAGCATTGGCAAACAAGGAAAAACTGGAGTAAAGCCCTCACAACAATGGGAAAAACTTAACTCTGCCGCGAGCCACGCACACACAAACACAGGCACAAACACAAGCAAACACCCAGGCGATACAAAAGAAGCCGAAATCCCGGGAAGAAATTAGTTTCTCCTCGTCCTGCCCTCTAGCCCCGAGGTCCTTGCAGTTCTGTTCCTCCTGTTTTGCGGCCCAAGCCGTTGTTGCCACTGCCACTGCTGCTACTTCTGCCGCTTCTGCTGCTGCTGCTGATGTTCGTTGTTGTGGGCAGCACACAAAATTGGCAAATACAAGCGGACTTAGGCCACAGGAGCTTTTACTGGCGAAAACAAAAAGCGGCAAATTCCAAAACGGCCGCGGGGCGAAGGGAAAAGCGGCGACAAACACACAAAAAAATGTTCGCAATGCAAAAACTTGTATCGTCGCAAAGGGCGAAAAATGCAGGCCGCAGACAGACGCAAGGAAAAACCCACAAAGTGGGTGCCAACAGGATCGGAAAAGCGGGGAGGGGGGAGGGGTTAAAGTCCTTCGGGGGGGTGGGGCTTTTCTCAGATAATTTGGATTTTTGTGGCCCCGACAGCTATTTAATCGAGTCACAGGACATTTTCTTATTCCAAAGGAGAGCAGTTGCAGTTTTAGCACAACGGAGTAATTTAAGGCTTAGGATTCCTCCCTTTTGATTTCTCTTTGTTTATTGGACATAAATAGTTACAAATACAAAAAGCAAAATACATTCCTAAACTATGGAATTTTCCAAACATTCATCTCATTTTTCATTTGTTTTCCATGAAAACGTTATCTTTGTTATGCCTAAGTCTAGCCAATGTTATCATAGCTTTTTCATGCTCAACTATGAATACAACCCAAACCGAAATTGGGTCCAGCAAAAAAACGACGCAACAAAAGCCCACGTGAAGCCATCGAAGGGGCAACAAAAAATAAGTTCAACAAGATGATGAAATTCCAGCCATGCCGTGGGTGTCCTGGCCATTTCCGCTGTCGTTAGCCTCTGCCAAAGTTTTGGACCACAAACAGAGCCCGGGACAAAACCAGGTGTCGTTATGGCCGCACACGCCAGAAATTTCAATAGCGCAGCGAAAGTTTCAT